CACAGACACACACTCACACTCACACTCTCTCTCACACACACACACTCACACACACACACTCTCACACTCACACACTCTCTCACACTCACGCTCACGCTCACACTCACGCTCACACACACTCTCACTCTCACTCTCACACACTCACTCACTCACACTCACAGACACACTCTCTCTCACACACTCACACACACACACTCACACACTCACTCACACTCACACTCTCTCTCACACACTCACACACTCACACTCACACTCACTCACACTCACACTCACAGACACACATCTTGTGTCCAGCTTTCATGTGTGTTTGAAACAAACTCCCAGTGTTTTCGGATCAGTCCATAAACGCAGCACTCAGGACCCAACGGTCCTTTCCCTCCATCAGCGAGTTAATGAGGTTAATTTGAGTGAGAACACGAGTCAAAACTCACTCCAGCTGCTTCTCCCGAGATACTAATTGGTTGAGTCAGTAAACGCAGCTGGAAACTCAAGCAGAGAATTTGACAAACATTCCTGCAGAGGCTGACGTCTATACACACAGTAAATGAGAAGCCGCAACCAGACGCCGGAAACACAGACGTCACGTCTACATTCACTCACTGCACACCAAACACAGGCCTTCACAAACTACAGCCTATAATTAACTCAAAGATTCAAAATGAAAATAAAAACAAATCAAAATAAAACACTTACTACTAAAGTACATCATAAAATGTCAAATGAATTTATGAATTAATAAAAATTTTAAATTAAAAATAAAACAGTATATAAATAAATCATACAAATTAAAATTAATATATTTTAAAATAGAAACAAATAAAAATAAAACATTTACTATTAATTTGATTAAAAAATGTAAAATTAAAATAATTTTAATAATAATAATAAAACTAAGCAAATAATTAATAAAAATTAAAGATTAAAATAAATAATTATTAAATAAAAAAATATCAAAACACTATCAAGTAATTAAATCATTAACAATGCCAAATTAAAATAAATATTTTTAAAATAAAAATAATGTGATTAGATCATAAAAATGTACAATTAAATAATTGTAAAATAAAAACAAATCAAAATAAAACGCTTAAAATGAAATAATAAACGATTTTAAAATAAAAACAATCAAAAGAAAACACTTACTACTAAAGTAAATAAATCATAACAATAAATTAACAAATTTAAAATAAAAACAAACTGAAATAAAAAATACTAATAAAGTAACTAAATCATAAAAATGTAAAACTAAATTAAATTACTAAAATAATGACTGTACTAATAATGCAACCAATTAATAAACAAATAAAATTAACTAATTAAATAATAAATGTTAAAATAAAATAGATACAATGCCAAATTATACACTTACTAAAAAATGTATTTATTTATTTATCTGCTTGTCATGTGACTATTAACCAAACATCAGAGAACCATGAACATGCGAACGTGTTGTTTAATTATTTATGTATTAGCTTACAATCTCAGGGGGACTTCAGGTTAATATTTGGGGTCTAAGAGGTTCGTTTGGGAATCTCTGGTCTTTGGGATGATGGGACAGAAAGCACCACACCAGTTTACAATAACAGCCGTCAGCAGACAAGTTTCCAAACACTGTCAGACAGAAGCTCAACCTTAACCACTCACTGATGTTTCCAATCAGACGGGAACACCATGTTCCTACGACACAACAGACTACAGCATAGTTATCCCAAAAATTACAAATCTGTTATTATTCACGGTTTTATTATGTTGTTCCAAACCCATATGACTTTCTCTCTTCAGTAAAACAAAATAAAACACTTACTAATAAGTAACTAAATCATAAAAAAAAAGTAAAACTGAAAAATAATTGTAAAATATATATTTTAAAAAATGGAAATAAAACACTAACATTTAAACGGCTAACATTTAAAAAAATTAAATACATTGGCTTCCAGTTTTCCCCCAGGCTTCCCCACAGAGAGCTGTGTGTGGATACTGCGATTCCCTCTCTCACGGCATTCAGAGCCAATATTCTGCTTTATTTACAACTTCAACTACGAATAGCAATTGTGACAGGCTCTCGGTTACCACAGAAAATAACTCAAACTGAAGGGGCGTGATGTAATTATCCATAAAGCACTGTTTATGTGAGCAAACTCAAACAAACAGCAATTATACACCAGCAACAGACGAGCAGAATTCATCTGTCTGAAACAGTAGTCCCACATCAAACGCAAGGTTTAGACTCTTCACAACTCAAACAACACACATATTTGACATTTTATTCCTGATTTTAATTCCAGCTGAATTACATACATGCATGGGCTCGATGCCCATGGTTTTCAACCAGTTGAGAAGATATAACAAAGATAATGTACAGCATCTAATAATACATCAAATCTTCTTAAAGATATGTAAAGGTAGGCTGACTGCAACAATGTGACATTAAAAAGTTCTAAAAGCTCTAGTTTGTTGTAGCAGCCTGATGCAGTAACACTGATTCAACCAATAACGTGAGTTTGGGGTGGGACTTCCTGTCTGTCTGACCAATAGAAGGCAATGAAATGATTCTGGAAACCTTTACATTTCCAATTCAGTTTGGTGACGTTAGTGGAGCAGAAATTACATTCATGACATTTCTAAACAATTCCTAATGTCTAAAATAAGCTGTAATATTTATTACTCAAATAATAGAGTAATGTTAGTTAATGTGTTTAATAAAAGTAAAAAAATTTTTTTTAAATAAAAATAAGAACTTTTAAATGAAAAAATGATCATTGTGTGCCAAGAAATCATACTGATATACATTTTCGATTTAGCAAAAGTACTAATTAAAAATTTATATTTTAATTGAAAATTTGATTAAGTGCTACTACTAAGATAAATACATAATTTTGAATTAGAATTAATAATTAAATGATTAACAATTAAAATTAAATAACAATAATAATAACAACAACATTTTAAAATAAATATATAATACGGTTTTTTTTCTTGCTCCCATGGTTATTATAGTTAACTAAAACTAAAA